GGGAAATGGGAGGCTGGGAGGAGGCAGAAACTTTTTTTTTCTTATTCTCAATAATTAAAAAAAAAGACATAGTCTCTCATCTTCCCACACAGCACCGAGTAGAGTAGAGCGAGCACAGGCTGTGGAGTCAGACTGTTCAGGGATCAGAAGCTGGCCTCTGCCACTTGCTAGCTGTGCACGATTGTGGCATTTCCTGACCTCAGCAGTACCTCAGTTTCCTTCTCTGCAAGTGGGGGGAGTGCCGACGCGGGAAGAGCCAGAGGGCAGGTCGCCTGTGCATTCATTGTAGAAGTATGTGTTGGGTTGCCTGTGGCAGGTGGAGGAGTCACTTGAAAGGTTTTAATTTTTGACAGTTTCGTAGATATTTTATAATGGGTTTTGGTCATGTCCACCCTGTTCTCCTCCCTCGTCCCTCTCTTTCTCTTGCTGGCACAAGTGTTCTCAACCAGCCTCCTTCCTACTTTCTTGTCTACTTTTTGTGGGGTTTGTACATTTTTTGCTTTAGATTTATTTATTTTACGTATATGAGTGTTTGCTTGCATGCACATGTGTGCACACATGTGTGCCTGCTGCCCCTGGAAGCCAGAAGATGACATTAGGTCCTCTGGAATTGGAGTGATGGATGGTTGTGAGTTTATTTAGTTTCTGCCCAAGCATGGGAGGAAGGTTATTTTAGATTCTCATTCTCTGTGACCAAAATATTGGAGAGCACAAAGTAGAGAAGAAAAGTTTATTTTGACTCATGGTTTGAGAGGGTTCAGTCTCCAAAGCTGTTTGAACATCATGGTGGAATCATGTACCGGAGGAGCTGCTCACTTCGTGGCTGAACAGGAAGCAGAAAGCAGGGCAGGAAGGGGCAGGGAACAACAGATACCAGTGGGCCCACATCTGTTAACCCACCTCTTCCTGCTAGCTTTCATCTCCCGGGATCATCAGACTCCCATGTCCCCTCCACAGAGCCACATGGTGGATTAAGCATTCAACACAGGAGCCTATAGGAGGTTCTTCCTGCTCAAGTCTTGGCGGCAGCAGGTGCAAAAGTAGCCTTCTGGTCTCATAGCACCTCGTCAGAATATCTCCTTGTTTTCACGATGTTTCCATATTCATGGGAAGTAGAGATTGGTCAAGTAATTAAAAATGGTGACGCACTGGCTGGGGAGATGGTTCAGTTGTTAAAGCCCTTGCTTTGCAAGCTTGGAAACCTAGAACCCATGTAGTGGTGTGTGACTGTACCCAGTGTCAGGGAGCCAGAGCTATTCCTGGAGTGCCTTGGTTCTCCAGTCCACCTTACTCCGTGAGCTCCAGGCAGTCAGTGTTGGAGGAATGCCCCCCCCCCCCCCCGAGGTTGACTGGTGACCTCTACGTGTGAACGCACAGCTACGCTGTTGCCCCCTTACATGAACACACAAAATATTGATGTGTCATGAAGGAAATACAGCGGAGGAACACGGTAGAGAAAGACCACGGGACGCTGGCAACTCAACCAGGGAGGGCATTTCTGAGGTGAGGCCGTGCTGAGAAACGAGACACGACAATGAGTGGCCCACGCACGTATCTCCGGAAGAGCCTTCTCTACAGAGGAAACAGCGAGAGCCAGGGCAGAAGTCCTGAGGTGGGAAGTGCTTGGCAGACTCTAGGAAACAGGAAGGCTGGTGTAGGTACATAGGAAGGATGTTGGAGCATGAACAGAGATGGGTCTAAAAGGTCTGGAGGGTCAGGAGCGTTTGGGGCCCCACAGGCCATGGAAAGAAATAGAAAACACGCTCTTAATCCAGAGCCCAGCTCGGTCTGCACTCAGTCAGCTACTATTTGCTCTCTTAGCGATTTGTCTCTCTGTTATTGTGCTCTTTAAATTATTTGCATTTTGCTGAGAAAAATACAATGGGGAAGAAAATTAAAGAAAAATTATGGTCCACTATTAGACCAGTGACTGATAGAAATAAGTTACTTCTTTTTCTGTCAAAATGTTTTTATTTGTTTTATACACTTTTCTTCTTATTTAAGTTTTTTTGTATAATATATTTTGATCATATTCTTTCCCTTCTTCAAACTCCTTCCAAATCTACCACCTCCTTACCCACCCAACTTACTCTTAAAAAAGACAAAAAAAAAGAAAATAAAAACAAAATAATAAAAGGTAACATGAATTCTAATTGTTCTTAATAAAAACCTGGAGTCAGAAATTAGGGGTGAAAGCTGAGAGATCAGAGAAAAAGTATAGTCAGCCACTAGAGAGACCTTTTACCTCTACTGAGTCCTCAGACTAAAGGGTCTATTCCTATCTCTACTAATTCTCAGATGGCATCCTCAGACCGACTGCTTCAGACTGCACTGAGCTCCTGTCTCCTCCTGCCTTCTATTCCTCTCTCCACCCAGCCACGTCATTCCTGTCTCCACCTCCCTAGTGCTGGGATTAAAAGCGTGTGACTCCTAGCTACTGGGATTAAAGGTGTGAGCCACCACCACCTGGCTCTGTTTCTCTTTGGTACTGGATCAACTAGTGTAGCCCAGGGTAGCCTTGAACTCACAGAGATCTGTTTGCCTCTGCCTCTAGAGTGCTGGAATTAAAGGTGTGCACCACAGCTGCCTGGCCTCTAGTGGCTTAGCTCTCTGATCTTCAGGCAAGCTTTGTTTGTTAAAACACAAGCAAAGTATCACGACAGCAAAATCAAACAAATAAGCAAAAAAAAAAAAACCCAAACAAACCAACCAAACATAAATAAAAAAAGCAAAACAACAACAACAACAACAACAACACACACACACACACACACACAAAAGCCTAGAAGAAATGAAGTCCTTTTGTTTGGACCAGCTACTCTTGGATGTGGAATCTGTCCTGGATTGTGATTAGAATATCCAGTGACACTATTGAAAAAACTGATTTTCTCTTTCCCAGCGGGAAACGACGGCAAATAGCTTTTTGATTAGGGATGGGACTTAGTGTCCACTTCTTTTTCTCAGTCAGGCCCTGGACTGAGGAACGATTGTAAGAGCCGGCGGTGGTGGAAGACTCCAAGGAAACAACATCTTCCAGACACAGTAAGATTGATGCACATATCAGCTCACAGAGACGGTGACGGCAGGCACAGGACCTGCACAGGTTCAAAGGCATTTCGTTTTCTTAAAGCAGGGTTGAACCCTGTTAAGGTATCAAATGGCTGTCCAGGATGCTTTTCTCCATAACGGTGTAAGGATCTCTTACTCCACACCAAGAAAGGCCTTTGTTTCTGCACAATATCATAGACTGTGGGCAGGTACCAAGTAGGGATTCCATGCTTCTCAAAGGGAAGAGGATTCCAGGTGCTCAGAGGGCTGAACGGATAGACTACAGTGCCCATGACAGTTAATGTCATTGTAGCTGGAAGGGATGTAGAGTCACCATGAAAACACACCTCTGGGTGTGACGGTGGATGTTTCCAGAGACATTTATCTGAGCGGAGAAGCCCCCTCTGAGTCAGTACCGCCATGGGCTGGGGTCCCAGACTGCATACACAAGGGAGAAGAAGCTGGGCTGCAGCGTGCATCTCCCTCTGCTTCCTGACTGCAGGTGCAGTGTGACCAGCCTCCTCCTCCTTCCACAATGTCTTCCTCCCTGTGATGGACAGCACCCTCAGACCGTGAGCCAAAACAAACCCTTCCTCCCCTTTGCTGCTTTTTGCAGGAATTTTTTTTTTTGTCTAGCATCAAGAAAAACGACTAATACAGGACATTGGCTTATTAAACTGTGGTGCACATGCCTATAAAAGTCTATGGCTTACTAATAAGAATGCATTCCAACTGATTTGAGCTAGACCTTCAATCTAGAGTCCTCAGATAACCAGGTCTTATACTGTCAGCACCTTGTACTGTCAGTACAGTAGAGGAAGAATGAAGAGAGAAAATATGAATGATAGCATGTAATGGTTTATTGCATTTATGTGTATGTTTGCATGTGTGCATGTGTGTATGCATGTGTATGTATATACATACATGTATGTATACATATATATTGTGTGTGTTCATGTGTGTGTGTAGGTCCAAAGTTGATATGAGCTGTTCCTCTCAATTGATATACTGAGGCAGAGTCCTTTGCTGAACCATTGTTTCACAATCAATCTTTCTCTGCTTCTCTAGTGGTACTAGGTTACAGGCAGCTGCCATACCTGCCTGGGTTTTTATGTGTATTCTGGGGCTAGGAACTGTGGTCTTAACTCTTGCATGGCAAGCAGTTTATCCAGTAGCCCTTACTAATTCAGGTTGGTTCTACAAAACAGATTAACCTTAAACCTCCTCTGTAGCCCAGGCTGGTCTTGAACTTACAACCCTCGCACCCCAGCCTTCCAAGTTGCTGGCAGTACAGGCTTGTGCCATCAGGTATGGCAGAGAAGGAATTTGAAAATAAAAAATCCCACCTGTCAACTATCTCTGCCCAACCAAACATCCTGTTATATCTTTAATCTCAGAATACATGATTCTTAAGCCTGCAAGGTGTTTATCTCTCGCAGACAGGCACCGTATCTTTTGGGTTAATTTATGGATAGTCTCAGAATGGACTAACATATAGATTTTCCTGAGTAATAAGGGGAGGAATGAGTGGGAATTTTAGTTTTATTCCTGTGCTAACCAGGGCGATAAAAAGCTACCCCAGTCACCTACCAATGCGCACAGAAGCCTGCTTAATCATTCTTGCTATGGTTGGCAGACAAAAGCTGGGCAGATTTCCTCCAAGTATGGTGCAAAGCCAGGCTGGATTTTACTGTAATTTTGTCATTAGGACCCAAAGAAGAAATCACATCAATCAAAGATAATTTTCCTGGGCTTCCCAGAAGGGTATGAAAGGAAGAGTGAATTCCCTGTTGCTCTGAAGTGGCAGTGAGTGACTGTCCAGCAGATGAATCGAACAGATGGGAGGAAGTGTAAATGTGAAATTGATACACACCCTGCTGCTAGCAAAGGAGGAGATGCTTAGATGATGATGTCGCGGGAGCAGAGAGTGAAGCCCTTGATGATGTGGAGTCCATCTCTTACCTTGATTTGGGTACCCTGAGAACGATGGGATACAGGGAGACATTTGGTCAACATTTTAAGGACAAAAAATTAAACAGATAAATTAATTGCCTTGATAAACACTTTTTTTTTTTTGAGACAGGGTTTCTCTGTTGCTTTGGTGCCTGTTCTGGAACTTGCTTTGTTGACCAAGATGGCCTCGAATTCACAGAGATCCACCTGATGCTGAGTCCTCCTGAGTGCTGGGATTAAAGACATGCACTACCACAGCCCAGTCATAAACACGTGTTAAATAGCTACTATACACCAGACGCTGTACTTAGGTTATGAATAAAAATGCCACCGGAGCTATCAGTGATGTGCTGACTGTGCAAAAATGAGGAACTGGATCTGAATCCCAACACACACACACACACACACACACACACACACACACACACACCCCAGGCGTGGTGGAATGTGCTGGAGGGGTAGCGGCAGGGGGGTTTCTTGTGCATACCATCACTCTAGCTGAGTTGTTAAGCCCTGGGTCCTGTAAAAGAACCTGTCTCAAAAAACCAAATGGAGAGAGATCTAGGAAGACACATAAGGTTGACCTCTACTTTTTGCATGCACATACACACACAGACTTTCCTTTCCCAAAGGTCTTTCCTCCTTCTGGCAAGTAGGGGACACAAATGAGGGGATAAAACTGACTGATGATTAAATTCAGGGCAATGAAGACCAGGACAGAGAGGACATAGGGCTGCTTTCTGGAGACGTCAGGGGAAACTGCTGTGTTTGTGGATTTGGGATACTGGATCCGTGATTTTTTTTTTTTTTACTACGTATCAACTCACACCAGAACTCAGAAACTTCAAACAACATTTTCCTCCTCTTGCAGTTGTGCGTCAGGAGTGTGACTGAGCTTGCAAGGTTTCTGTCTTATGGTTTTGCACAAAACTGTGATCAAGGGTCAAGTGAAAGCCTGTGGCCTCCTCTGAAGCCTAAACACGGGAAGGATGCATACTCAAGCTAACTTGATAGCAGCTGTCTGTTTCCATTTCTGCTGCTCTAGTAAAATATTCCAACAAAGAGAAATTTAGACTATAAAGGGTTTACTTTAGCCCACAAGTCCAGATTAGAGCCTCACATGGCAGGGAAGTCAAGGAAGGAATGTGAGGCTGCTTGTCACATCACAACCGCAGTCAAGAGCAGAGAATGAACACATGCATGCCTTCTCCTGCCCAGCCGCCTTTCTATACTTACACAGCCCCAAACCAAACCTAGGGAATGGTGCTACTCACAATGGGTGAGTCTTCCAATCCCAGTTAGCTTAATTAACAATCCTCCACAGACATGCTCACATGCTAACCTGATCTAGACAACCCTTCATTAAGACTTTCTTCCCAAGTGATTCCAGATTGTGTCAAACTGATAGTTAAAACCAACCAACTGGCATCGCTAGCATCCATCATGGCATCCATCTGGCTCATTGTTCGGCTGTGGCTGAACCTACTTATGCTGCCCTGACATATGGATCTCCATTATGTCAGTTCATATTATCAGCACTCACAACGTGAGACAATGAGTCTGGTTGGCAGGATGGAAGTCAAAATCTTTTCCATCTGAGTGATGGAAGTAACACCCATAATATTTAGATGTAGAAACTGGTCGTATCAGAGTGTGGGGCTTAAACAGGAGCATAACAGAACATAGGTGTCACTGGAGGGTGTGTCCTGCAGAAGCTGTTAGAAGTAGGTCCCAGAGGCAGAGCCTGAAGTGAGAAATGCATTATAAACCAATATGTTAGGACAGTTTTCTAAGAAAAAGCACAAGCAAGTGCATGACAATAAACATTGTGGGCAGGGGCGAACTGTGGCTCAAGAATAGGGAAGATGGGAAGCAGCATATATTGTAGTATTTCCTATCAGGGCCGAGGGGATAGAGTACTTATGCCCTTGAACCTGCCCTTCAGGAACTGTTAGATGCCTTTCATTATTGACAAAGTACCTTTCTGTCCTGTAACCCATCTGCAAAACCATCACTGCCACTTCTCACTAAGACAAAGCCCAAACACCACCTTTAGACACATTGCTACCTGCTCTCTGTCTCTCTCTACTTCTCTGTCTGTCTGTCTGTCTGTCTGTCTGTCTCTCTCTCTCGTAAGTAAGGAAGTCAACTTACAGGAGGAAAGGATAATTTATTTTGGCTCATTGCTTTAGAGGGTTTAGTTCACAATAACTTGGTCCCACATGCTTGGGACCATATGGAGAAGGAGGCTGTTCACTTCATGATGAACAGGAAGCAAAGAAGACACCGTTATAGACACAACTTTCAAAGGCACCTTCTGAGTGACCTTCCTCTAACTAGGCCTTCTTCCAGTTTCCAGAATCTTAAAACAAAACAAACAAACCAAAACCACTAACTGAGGACCAAGTATCTAACTCATGAGCCTGTGGGAACATTTCATATTCAAGCCACAACAAGGAGGGAAGGTATATTTTGGTTGATAGTTTCATCATAGGCTTCAGCCCATGGCCACCTGGCTCCATTGCTGTGGACCTGAGCTAACGTAGAGGAAAGCTGCTTGCATGGTGGCCAGGGTGTCTATGGAAAAGCAGAAGAACCAACAGGAATAAGACATTGTCTCCAAGGCCACCCCCCTTCACCTCAGCGACCCCCCTCTTTCAGCTAGACTCTACTTATTTTCACCACATCCTAATAAGTCACTCAAAGATGAATCCATCAATGCATTATGGCACCAATTAAGGCACAACACTCTTATCCAGTGACCTCCCCAAAACCTGCCCTCTGAACATTGAATTGGAGACAAGCCTCCACCATATGAGACTTTAGGGGGTGTATTTCATAACTCAACTGTAACACTGGGTGAAGGTTGACTCTGGGAGATATGACTTCCCTGGCATTCCTGTCTGTACATACATGTAGAGCAAGTGGGTTCTCATTCTCTGAAGATGAACCTGGAGACAGGGGGAGCTTGTTTATAAGAAAATGTCAAAGAATATGTGTGTGTATGTCTCTGTGTGTGCCCACGTGTGCATAAGACAGCAATAGCATTTATTACTCACATTTATTGCAAAAACAGCAAGAATATGGAGAAGCATGAACAAACGGATAATTGTTTATGAGTAAGTAGAACAAGATGGTGTATGAAGTGTCAGGTGGGAAAGAGCCCAGGAAACAAGACAGAGAGCAGCAGAGGGCTTATCAGAGAAAGACTCAGTGGGAGGGAAGGCAACACATTGGGCTATGTCTAAGGGGTTAAGGCACAGAATCAAAGACTAAAAGCACTGAGAGCCCTCAGCCACCAGTGTCTTCCCCTCCACTCTATGTTTAGAGACAGGGGCTGTCACTGAACCTAGAGCTCAATGGTTCAGCTAGGCTGGCTGGACAGTGAGCTCCAAGGATTTTCCTTGTCTCTGCCTCCCCAGTGTTGGGATGCTCGCTGTGCCCTGCTGCACTCAGAGTTTTATGTGGGTGCAAGGGATCCAAAGTCATAGTCTTGTGACCACATAGCAAACGCTTCGCCCACGGATCCACCTCCTCAGCCCAATTTCAGACTTTTTAAACAGACCTCAGATATTAGAATCAATTATAATCCTCATTCATGATGTGCTGCCATCTCCTCCCTAAGAATGGCTCTCTTTTCATTGACTTCAGTTCATTAAATATTTACTAATCTATTAAACGCCTGTGGTGCCATTTAACCAGGAGTGGCCACACGCAAGGCAGTCCACCTTTGTTCTAATCTCGCGGTGTAGTGAGGTTGAACCATCTTTGCTTGTTCTGCAGCTGTAATCTTTTACAGTAGCCGGGCAGAGCTCAGATGAGCTTAGAAGTCATGGGGTACTAAAATTTGAACCTGAATTGTCCTCCTACAGGTTCATGCTTTTTAAAAGTGTGTATATGTATGAGTGTGTGTGTTTATGTGTGTGAGTGCATGTGTATGAGTGCAGGCTTGCATGCATCACAGTCCTCGTGTCCAGGTTGGAGGACAACCCCAGTTATTGGTCCTCACCTCCCACCTGGTTTGAGACAGATCTGTTGTTCATGGCTATGCACTCTCAGGCTAGCTGACCTGAGAGCTCTGGGGAGTCAATGTCTCCATTTTCCACCTCACCTCCAGAGTGCTGAGATTACATTCTTGCTGGGGATCAGAACTCAGGCCTTCACACAGTGTGGTTTGTGATTTACCCTATGTGCAATACCCCAGCCATATCATGGTTTGACTCCTCTCCTTTCCCAGGGCTGCCACTTTATGAAGTTTAGGAATTAGAGCCTAGCTAGTGGAAGTAGACCCTTAGAGACAGGCCTTTGCAGGAAGTATCTTGGGTCATCCAGTTTGTAGTGATGGGAAATTCCTAACTCCACCAAGCAGCCACTTCCAGCTGTTAGGACATTTGGCCTCCTTGAAGCACCCTGCCCACTGATTCTAGCTGTGCTGTTTGATAGCTTCCTTCTACTTACATGGAATCTGGGCAATGTAATCCCCACTCACTCCATGTTGTGCACCTGCCTCCCACATATACTTCCAGGAACACAAAGGTGCTTAAAATAAGCATTATTTTTGCCCTAGTGGAGTTTATAATTTATAGAGGAGAGAAGATAAAACAAATACACAAGTATCTATAACAGAGTGTGTCAGGAGTGCTATGTTCTGTAAGAGAGGAACAAAAATGTTGTTGGAAGGAAGGGTAGTAGAGAGGGAGGAATGAAGATACATACACACACATATAGAGAGAGACAGACAGAGACAGAGATGGAAGAAGAGAGAGGCAGAGAGCAGGTAGCAATGTGTCTTAGAGGTGGTGTTTGGGCTTTATCTTAGTGAGACGTGGTAGTGATGTTTTGCAGATGGGGGACAGTGCAGTGCTATCCAGAAAGAAGAAACAGCATGAATGGTAGAAGATTTCAGGCTTGATAACTCTCGGGGACATAGTTATGGGCATAGTCTCATTCCCAAGGCACCTCAAGGTAGAAGCCACAGGTTGAGGTGACCACAGGGGCCCACGATCCTTGCCTGATGGAACACATATCATTTGTTTTACTAAATCTGCTTTACCCACCAACTTGAGGAAGCCTTTGTATTGCTCTGTTTAATCATTGGCTCTGTATAACTGTGTATTTATGCCTGTATTTTCATCATAGGAGCATGGGGACCAGAGGGCTGGAATCATGATTTTTACATCACTGTGTCCTCAGTGCTTAGCATAGTGCTTGGACCGTGGTAGGTATTGGATAGGTAGTTGCTTAGTGAACAACCACCATTTTAGTCCTTAGCTGTTTACATCTTGCCTTCCTTATCCTGTCCACTGACTTCAGATTTGGGCTCTGCT